ATTGTCGAACCAAACGACGTATATGTATATGACTCAAGAGCAGACATGAATAGAATGCATCTACGTACACCACGCCAAATACATGGCCTTGGAGGCGGTCCTCCACCTCTTTTGAGAGGCGAGAATGTTGAAAGAGGGAATCAGATTCAACCCAGTGCACACAAAAGGCAAAGTGAAAGTTATTTTTGGTAAATCTAAAAACGATGGTCGAACTTTGTGATCGAAACGGGAAGTCGTACTAACTAAATAGATTTCTCCGGATAATTGTGTTTTGTTCCTTATCCTGAGTACTAACAAAGGATAACTATTCTTTAAACAACCCCGGTATTTCACGTGCATATTGAAATTATATTATTAATAATCAATATCAACTTTATTTACTTTATTATTAAGCTATTTGCCTTTCACTCTCTCTCACTGTTTTAAAACAGTGTTTTAATATATATACAAATTTCAATATCCGTAGCCATTTAGGTAAGTTAAGAACCTTTAAAAAATGGTTAACTCTACAACATATAATTAGTTTTAGAAATGCAGATAGGGGCACTTACTTTGTAGATCTATTTAAAATTTAGACAACACTTAATATATGGAAATGATACCCTTGCCCATTACACTTCGTGTCAGCCAATATGCACATGCGCTTGACCTGGTAATTAAATACTTTATTTTTATAAAAAATAAATACATATTGCTGCGATTGATGAGTTATTATATAACGTATTGTTTTGTATGAATAGTTTCATGGTTATAATTACAGAATGCCTGGGTTTGAATGTTCGGCGTTGTGGTGTCCATTTGGTGGGCTTCCGTCTTAGACCCTGTTTATGGGGAAGACAACAAATTTGCCACCCTTTATCAATAATTACAACGCACGAATAGGGTAATTAAATGCTGTGTATATTTTCGTTCACTTCTCTGGTCGGAACTACCAATGCAACTACCGATCGAATGCTTAGTTTCAATGTATATATCAAAACGCTTACAATGTAGCTTAGCTTAAGATAAGGCGACAGAAGAAGAGAAAGAGAAATAGATAAAAAAAGAGAGAAGCTAAGAGCGCAGCAGGTGCAGCCATACACCCATGCGCGCACAATCAGGCGCTAGCGGTCTGCTACGAACATACTCCCCCCGTTGGAAGAGGTACTGTTTCAACTATATCGGCATCGTGGGGCAGAACGGCTAGCTTGGCGATTTTGTGGCCTCCAATTGGCCAACAACTTTTCCGAAATGGGGTCAAGAAGGCAGCTGACCTTCCTCCGGCAGCAAGTGTGCCACCATCAAAATGATTCGTAGGATCCTTGACGACGGCAGCTGAGACAGACTGAGGAGTTGACGCACTCGGCAGCCCTCCAGACACGATCCAACCAAGTTTGGTGTTCTGAAGGGTTGGCAACGCGCTACCCAAATGAATTTATCCCGTAGCCATTATTTTAAAGAAGAGTCCAGCACCAATTATGAGATCTATTCGATCTGATCGATTGAAGTGAGGATCAGCAAGCGAAATATTTTCCGGAATTTTCCATGATACTGCGTTTATATCGAAATGGGGCTGATACTCAGTGATACTATCAGTCACAACCGCGGAGAATGAGGCACGATAGCTTGCATCCCGGGATTGCGCTAGAATGTCGGCTGCCTTATCAGAATTCAAAGGGGATTCCCCAATCCTAACGACTAGGGTATGCGACTTTCGACAATTCAAATTAAGTTGATTCGCTAGACGAGACGTTATGAAATTTATCTGAGACGCCGAGTCCAAGATTGCTCGGCAAGGCATAAATTCTCCAGCCTTATTCCTCACATAGATAATAGCGGTTTTAAGCAACACGTTATCAACAGGCACAATATCTTTGGAGCTTGGTGGAGGGTTCGATGAACGGTGATTAGGTTGGGATGATGAATGCGCTGATGAATGTGATGATGCTAATGCTGATGAAAATGATGTTGATGGCTGAGAGTTGGGAAATGGATCGGATGATAGAGATGAGGTGGTGGATGGTACAGGTCCTGATTAAAATGCAACAATGAGTGGTGCTTCATATGACAGTATCTGCAGTGCGTTGACTTGCATTGCTGCAAACTATGCCCCTTGCGCAAAAAGTTGAGGCACAGGTGCAACTTCTTTGCTTGTCTAAATCGAACATGCGGACTCAAATTTAAAAATCGAGAGCATTTTGGCAAATAATGATCCCTCGCATCAAAAAACGTACATAGCGGAAGATTTGAGCTACCAACTGAAGCAATGAAGCTATACTTATGCAGGGCTTTTTCCCACCTGCCGGCTTGGTGTTTGCTTTACCAAGGCTTGATCCGAATTTTCCATAATCCTACACCTCCTTTGCTAGAACGACTCCATAGAATCCCACGTAGCTAGGTTGTTGATGGACAAATCCTCTTCGAGCTTTCGTGCGACGATGTGAATCAGCAAACCGTCCAAGATTTGTTGCTTAGTGGCCAGGGTACGGATTGCTCGCAGATGCGAATTCATGCAATCGCTTAACTCCCGAAGACCCTTGGCTGATCCCTTCTCGACACCTTTTAACCCAAATATTGCCTGTACGTGTGCCTGAAAATGTAGAACTTTATTATCGAATCGATTTGTAAGTAAATCCAAATCCTTTCTATAATTGGCATTCAAGGGCTCAATCGAACGTATGGTCTCTAGACCCACGCCGCCTAAACTTGACCTTAGATATTGTAATTTTTCAATATCACTTAGCTCTTCATCATTTCCGATGACCGTGCTGAACGTCGCAATAAAATCCGGCCAATCAGAATAGGATCCATGGAACCGAGCTATCTCCAAAATTGGCAACCGAGGCTTCCTAGATCGGAATGAAAGATCCGGATGATTAATAATGTCGATGGATGTTGAATTTGCAGCGGTTGCAGCCGGCAATTGAGATTTGCGAAGCGCCGCTAAACCTCGATTTATCTTCGCCTTCACATGAACGCCGTGGAGAATTCAATCCGATGATCGCTTGCTATCTCCGAAAAGTCCAATTTTTCCAGCGAAGTCTGAGCGGAATCAAAGGCCAGATTTAATAAATTAATCCACTCCAGTCGCGCCAGTAAATCAGCTTCATCAAACTGATCTAGTCTCCGGATTTAAGTAATAATTCATCGAGCTCAATTGCCGCAAAAGGGATTGGGCCTTGGCTCATTAGAAGTCCACGTCACTTGGCGGCTCATTTTGATGCTGAACCGAGTTTTCCGTGTTAGACATCTTTATTTTCTCACGCGAAAAGAATTAATAAAGGGAAAATGTCTGACCGCTTCGGTATATAGGAACCCGTTTGGTTTTCACCGCGCAAATTATAGGTAATTCAGCGTCACCGAGATGCAACGGAACCTCGACAATGTTGTTATTTTAATTGTCTGCCTCGAAACAGCGGAGTTTTGGCACACGCACGTCTATGCTATATATGCATAGGTATATTTATGTTCAATAGGCGCTATTTACTACGCTTAAGCGCGAGCCACCTTTCTATACAATGCTTGGCACAACACAGCTTTTGTTTATCAGCGCGATTTAACCAAAAATCAGCGGACGAATATATGCACTCAGCTTGTTATGTACAAGGTATGTGTGTATGTGAGTTTGCTTGTGTGCTTATGACCGAATGCCAGTAAGCGACAGCGAAGCGATTTGTTTAAACGATATTAAACAACGAACACCGGGTTGCAGGCTCCGAACCAAAGAATCACTTCGGGGTCACCAAAATGTTTATGGGAAAGACAACAAATTTGCCATCCTTTAGCAATAATTACAAAGCACGAATAGGTTAATTAAATGCTGTGTATATTTTCGTTTCACTTCTCTGGTCGGAGCTGCAACTACCGACCGAATGCTTAGTTTCAATGTATATATCAAAACGCTTACAATCTAGCTTAGCTTAAGATAAGGCGACAGAAGAAGAGAGAGAGAGAAATAGATAAGAAAAGAGAAAAGCTAAGAGCGCAGCAGGTGCAGCCATACACCCATGCGCGCACAATCAGGCGCTAGCGGTCTGCTCCGAACAGATCCCATGAAATGATCAATAATATTGAAATTTCTAGGGCCACATCGGAAGCTATTTGATGATGCGAACGTATGCAGTCTTCGTTTTGCTGATCATAGTGCTAAATGTGTTTACGATTGTCTGTTGTTCCATTGCTCATGGAAAAATGAGTAGCATTGCCAGTAGCGTTGAAAGGGTTGAACACGACACCTTTCCTCAGCTTTTACTGCAGCTTCTTTTAAATGATGGCGCTTGGAGCGGTATAATCTTAAATTTCACCTAATTCTTGTTACATTGATTTGTGATTTTTACTTGAGCCTTTTCCGTAAAGATGGCTTTTTCCTTCTTTCTTGCCATTGTTTTGTCATTCAAAATCCAATATTGCTGTCTGGCAATTGCTCTTAGTGATTGTGCTCCGTAATGTTAGTTATCTTCATGCATTTGCATCCTATGTAATTCTAGACTCTTTCAATCTCCCTCCGATTATAGGAGCCCTTCAGTACCATTCCTTTAGGATTCAGGTCTGAATCAGGCTGGAATGGACCGGACTCCATCCTGAATCATTAGGGAGCTTTCATACAAGCCATCCAGGAATTTCCATACAGTAGGCGTTAGCAAACCTGAATTCGGACTATCCGAGGAATTTTCAGGGAAACAAAAAGGAATCCTGCTAGGAATTTGTCGTGAATTTCGGCACGAATTGCCCCCTGAATCAGAAGGGAATTTCGGAAGGGATTCTGAACAGAATCATCCAGGAATTTGGGATGGAATCAGGCAGTAATCATGGGGAATTCAGAGTAGAATCAGGTAGGACTCTCAAAGGAGTGCCAGGCGGAATCACCAAAGAATCGTAGTGGAATTTAGAGTAGAATAAAATAGGAATCCCAGAGGAAAACGTGTAGAAGATCCCCGGAACCCCCCGCCCCATAGTAAATACCTGACAAAATTTATAATAAATTTTTTTTATTTATTTATTCATTTAAAAAACTTTATAATTTGTTTAATGATTACCACAATTTTTCTTAGCATAACTTCTTGTATTTCCCCTAAAAGTATGTTACGTGTCTTTCTTTCCGGCTGTTGTCTCGTCAATCTATAATTAAAATACATATGTATATACATATGGATATTAGAATCAAATACACAATATTTTCCATAATTATACGCACCAATTAAGAAGTAAATAAATACTGGATATATAATGGCCTTCCGTTCACACCCTCTAGGTTAAAAAAGAGTCCAGGTTAAAAAGCGATTCTGGAAATGAATTTATTAACTGAATACAAAAAATAAAAAAAGTCAGTTACCCTTTAACAATATTTAATAAACTACAATGCAAAACTCTTATGAATACTTCAGCTGTCATTAGAGCTGTGAAAAAATCGATTGTTCGTTGAATAATATTTTTCATCACCTCAATCTAATTTTGGAACCACTGCTCCGAATCCCTTCAAAAACAACAATTAATTGTTTGGCAGTATCCGAACACAGGTAGAATTTTCATTGCCTACTTTGTTATGGAGTTCTCATACCGAAACCCATGAGATTTGTTTTTGTTTTTAGAACATGACGCCAGGAATCGGACAGGAAATGAATTTTGGTACTGAAGGGAAATTTTCATACAACCCATCCATATTTGTTAATTGTTAATACGTGTCAATACAGCATACTATAAAATAAGTAAACATCCATTATATAAAATATAAATAACATAAAAATATTTATAAATATTCCAATTAATTCTAAAAAGAGTATTCCGATGTCGAAACGATATACTTTTAGTTTTTGAAACACATTTTTTCCCTTCCATCATTTCCATTTTTGTCTTATTTGCCAAAAGTCAGTCATTTAAAGTCAGAAATTCAGCAGTAACCGAACACAGGTAGAATTTTCATTGCCTACTTTGTTTCGGAGTTCTCTTACCGAAACCCATGAGATTTGTTTTTGTTTTTAGAACATGACGCCAGGAATCGGACAGGAAATGAATTTTGGCACTCAAGGGAACGCATCATAAATGCTACAATACGTTGTAATTTATGAAAAAAGTTGCTGTGCTTGCAATAGTATAGTTTGCTTCCAATCTGCCTTTTACATTTGACCTAACTTACTTGCTTCAGAACCCGTTCCAGTTCGCTGGCGACGATGGTCGGTACTTTTGACCACATGTCGCGGGAACAGTGTAGCAATATTGTTTCATATACCCAGATGTTATGCTCAGCTAAATAACATGCGGCACTCCATCGCAATAGAACACCTGCCGGGTTGTTTGCCGATGATACATGACGTCTTTGAGATTGGTGTGAATCAGCTTGGATTTTAGCAATCCGGTTCGCCGCAAAAGTGTTGTTTGATGATGGTGATTCATTTATCCAGGTGAGGACTACAGTTGTAACTGCCGAAGATACCCGTATCATTAGGCATGCGAAAACCTTTCTGACTCTGTTGGTTAGTTCAGCTCTTAAAACTGCAGCGCATAGTTCTAGACGAGGTAGATTTTGAGTAGAGGAAACGGTCAATTATTATTATTTTCATATGTGGCACGTACATAAACTGCCGCTCCGTATGCTCACTCTGATGTGTCGAGAAATGTGTGCAGTTTTAACACTAGTGTTGTAACGTTTCGTCAAGTTTGACGTTGTTGACAATGCCTTCTTAGAACATATAGAAAAGTATTAGAAAACCACAAACAGTGCGCGATCCCTTATACCAGCCATCAAACATTTAACAAAAAACATTGAAAAAATCCACACACAATTGACAGAAACATCTGAGCGCTTGCGAAATACTTTTCCGACATCGGATCGTCGTCTGATAATGATTTTGCTCAAATCTCGGAATGCCTGTTAATATTAACTGGGAAATAATCGCGTGAAACAACAACCATAAGACGGGGTTAAAGATAACACACACAAATTACAGAACTGCTAAAGAGAAACGTCTTGCCCCCTTATCTGATTTACCCTCTTTACTTCCGCTTGTGTTCTGGAGGTTCTATTTTGCCCACTCCTACCCTTAGTGCTTAAAAGCATGAGTGACCCGATTAAATAGTGCAAGCCTACATTACAAGAGAATGACAGCTACAGCCACTTTAAAATTGTGTAAAAGAAATAAATATAAATAACATGCGATAGCAAATGGTGATATATATGTGAAAATTATAAAATGTGTTAACTGCCATATATATTTAAGAATTATATATTTCTAAACTTTTCTTGCTAATGAAAAACTGGCAATTGAAGATGATGATTCTAATTTTTCAATTATTATTATAAAATTCAGGAATAAATATAAATATATATTTAAATTTTATTTATCATTAAATATAGTTGAGAGTAATTTTTGAAAATTTAAAAACCTTTAAGCTTAACTCAAATGATTTCGGGTTTTCATTTCTTTTTATTCATTTTGTTATTAATTCCTTTGAGAGGGTCTCTAAGGACTTTTCTATGTCTTCATCGGATTTTACTGTTGAAACTTTCCCCAGTTAGTGTTGCGGGGGTTTCTAAAGACTGTTGGTTTTGGAGAGTGATCGAACTCGCATTGGTCTCTCTAGGACCTTCCAGTCTGATACCATGGTACTTTGTCCCGCTACGAGTGTTATATCTAGAACGTTGGACAAGGTGGGGCCTACAAAGGTGTGTTTCTCCCCCACGTTTGCTATATCTAAATTGGTAGAGAGAATAAAGTCTAAAAGTGACTCACCTCTGTCGTTTATGTCGGGGCTTCCCTATACGCTGTGGTGCGCATTGGCGCCTGCACCCACGATCAGTTGCTGGTCCTTTGGGCCGGGATCTAACAGACTCCTGACTTCTTCCAGTGGAGCTGACCTATCGTGTGTCATGTAGGAGGAAGCTACCATTAGGCTCTTCTTCTTGCTTTCTAGCAACACCACAGTCAGGTCGTCCGAGCTGTAATGAGACATAAGGTTAGCTTGAAGACCCTTTCGTACGAGTACGGCGGTTCTGTTTCTGCTTACCGATGGTGTGCAGAACGCGTTGTAGTTTGAGGATTTTAGTCCTGCGACGGTATTGCCCGAGGTAATCCATGGCTCTTGGACTAGAGCTACATAGGCGGACCCTTGCTCCATGGTTATTAGGAGTTCCGCCAATGCTACCTTGCCCACGCCATCTTCCCGTATCTGGGATACTGGATGTCCTCTGGCCCCCATCTTTGGGTTAGGGGCTCGTAATGTGCAGTACCTTCCTATCAGCGGTTGGGATGTCGGGATTCTGATGCTGCAGCAGCGGCAGGATGGGACTTGCTCCCTGTCCACCACCTCCAGCTTGGCCCCGTCCCACAACGCTTCCATCCGGCCTAATGTTTGTGTCAGCCATTTTCTTTGACCCCATTTAGCCACCCTGCACCATCGAATGTGGGCATGAGCGCTACAGGGTCTTTCTCCATCCGTGTGACTAATGACTCTACGAGCCGCGCATGCACTGTCCTCCACCGCGCCTCGGTCATCTTGCCATTCTCATCGCTCCTGTCAATGAGTGTCACGATCAAATGTCGTTTGGTCACCTCACTGGCCTTCGCGATTTTTCTTCCCTTTTGTGTTTTCGCCTTCAAGGGGGGCCTACTTCCTTGGGCGCGCGTTGCCGCTTGCTCGCCGGAGTGTCTTTTATGGCGCTCTCGCTAGAGCGTTGCAGCTTGGTGGCAAGCATCTTCTCCACCTTGTTGGCGAAACCGGACGTTGATGCCATGCTAGGATGCTTGGCGAAGTGCAGCCTTCTTTTCTCGATCCTCTGCTCATTTGAGCTTTACCTTCTCCTCTTCGGATAGGGCAGCTTTTGTCCGGAGCCGGCTCTGGATTCGAAGGGCAGCTTTATACTGCACCTAAGCATTCTTCCCCTCGCTTGAACGCTTCGGCCCGTCCCTGCGCTGGGAGCTTGTGCCTGGTTCTGGCGAGCGAAGAAAGGTTTCTTCCCCTTCCTTCAAAAGCTGCACGCTCTCTAATTCCGAGTCTGTATAGACAACGGCACCCGTGCGGTTTAGCTTCTTTTTGTTGTTATTTTCGCAGTAGCGTTACAACTGACTTGACCTGCTCCCGTCAAATTAGAGGTGTGATCGCTGGCGACACGCAGAGCTCCCTTCCTTGCCCGCCGGTGGTAGCAATCACGCCTTCCAGCCCCATTTGCCTCTCCTGTCGCCATCCTATGAAAAATTGTTTTTTTTCCGGGGAACCACCCACTTGCGATATATGCCTGCCGCCAGCACCTCCAACCATGGCTAGTGATTCATTTTCTGCGGCATTTAGGCGGGAAAATTGAATCGAACATGCACCACTGCATTACCATTATACGGGGTAATACAGTGCCCATTGCCCAGCCGGCGCCCCCGTGGAGAATTCAGCTGAAGAATTTTTGCCAGCCTAGAACGATGCTGGGAAGAACCTTTATTTTTAACCTTATCCATGGGATGTGGAAAGTGCTGACTTGTTGAGTCAGCTCAATTTCCACGTACCATGTAGAAGTACAAGATCTTATATACCATTAGTGTTGCCCCACCTTCGAACTGCATTAACATTTTAGAGTCTTATGTGCAAATAACAATGATTTGTACACACTCATCTCCAACGTAAATAGACTTCCCAAATAAAACTCTTTAATATCAACACACTTAGTAAACATGCAAGCAAACAACCTTATTTTCCATCACCCCTACTAACACCTAACCGGCACGTGCCTGGTGTCATACGGGCCACTTAAGTGTACGAACCGTAGTGTATCAACGTCCATATAAAGAGTAATATACGTATTTTAACTGGTAAAACGTGGAAATGGATTTTATTGGAACTATATGAACAGGAATTGTATGGAAAACAGTGGAATCATATAGGTATCTGTGGCATTATATGGTAAACAGTGGAATTTAGTGTTTTCTGTGAGGAACAATAAAAAATTTAAATTTTAAATTTCTAAATTACTTATAAATTGTTGATGAATTGTCGATGAATTTGTTAATGAATTATTGATTAATTGTTAATAAATCATTGATGATGGTTGATGAATTGTTGTTGATGACAGTCTAGGATATTCCAATGTTAAATTCATCATTAATTTGTGCGCTACCCAGGTACCCATGAATGTTGAACTGCCTCAGGGACTTTAGGATTTATCCCCAGTCTGCCGAGTTGAACGCGGTTTTAATGTAATATCTAACTACTAAACAAAAGAACCACCTGGATCTGGGGGCTCTAACAATCCCCTCTATTGCATCCCGGTCCGATGAGGCAATCCCACACGCGTTGATCCTTTTTACGACCATTTAATAGGCACCAGGGCGGCGTCGCACAGCTTGAGGAAGCATCCCCGCTTGCTGTCCCAAATGGCATTTTTTAGCACCTTCCTCGCTGCTTTATAGAGCTCTCTGCGTGCAGCCAGGCGTGAGGTGCATTTAGCTCGCTGTAGCAATGTTCTGAAGCGAAGGCAGGTGAGACGTATTTCCGCGATCTCCTCCGCTGGAGCATGTTCCGCTTATTTACCATCTCGTTGGCTCCGTCGGTCTCGTCTATCGCGAAGTGTTCAAAGGCGTTCATAATTGCCCAAGGTCTAAGCGTGCCTTGCCGGAACGCTCTATTCAGCATAGGTTGACCCCTCTGGGTCGGCCATACATTCGTCTAATCTAAAAATAGAATGCGCTTGCTAGTATGAGTGAACAGAAGAACAAAGAAGTGCGTATGTGTAATGTGAATATGTGTGCTCCTGTACGGAAGCGCAACCACGAAAAAACTTTAAGTTTATATTTTGTGCTGCTGACCGCTTGTTAGGTATAGAGGGGGTGAGAACGGCAGCAGAAACAGCTGATCTAAAACACGTATTGCTCTGTATTTGTATACATGTGTATGTCAATGTGTTTCTATGTTTACATATTAGCTTGATTACATTTTTTAGTCCTTGAATGCCTTTATATTATTTTTTTTCTTTTGTTTTATTAGAAACTAGCGGCCCGTCCCGGCTTCGCACGGGCATTAAACATAACATTTAGATTTGTCAATTTTAACACATTCATAATAATAATAATAATATTACACATATTCATCCTTTATTTTTTGTTTTTTTTTTTTTTCAATTATTGAGGTCATAACCCTAAAAGAAAATACATTTATTTTGTTAGTGCTTCTCTGTAAAGAATATTTGATGTTGTTTTATTTTGTGGCAGCAAAATAAATTGATTTTCAGGGGCTCCGACTCGCGATAGACCAACATACAGTTGACCATGAGTAAAACATTTATTTCGCAGATCGATCCCTACTAATTCGAAGGTTTGGGACTTGTTAATTGTTAATGCGAAAGATGTTTTTACCGGAAATTGAAGCCGTTTAAATGGGATTGGCAGATCAGTTGGGATCATCGGTATCCTCGGTATATGAGCTAGTTGACCACTTGCTGGGTCAGTGATAATATTTGCTACTATTAAATTGTCCTTTAACTCCTTAATAAGCAGCCTCGTCCCATTACACATGCTCGGAGGGTTTAAATTTCTTAAAAGCATGATTGGAATTCCGATTTTTAACGTTAATTCATGTTGTTTCAGTCCAGAAGGGTTCAACTAATTTAAAAATTCCTGTGGATAATGGACTGCATCTTCAATATTCGTTACAGTGTCGATCGATTTGTATGTTTTTGTTTGGCCTGGGACTTTTTGAA